AGATGCAAGCAGGAGTCTGTCTACTTGTCATGAACATAATGCCTATATACATGATCATGCCATGAATAAACGTCATAACTATGTGTTTTCTATCAATTGCCCAACAGTAATTTGTCTACTCATTGTATGCTATTTTTATTAGAAAGAGGCCTCTAGTGAAAATTATGGCCCCCCGGTCTATTTTAATCATATTACAAAAACCAAAAATACCTTGCTGCAATTTATTTCTTTTATTTTACTTTACAATTTATCTATCACCTATTACCATATTTGATCCTTGCAATTAACGAGTACAAGGGAATTTACAACCCTCTTGTCCGCGTTGGGTGCAAGTATTTGCTCCTGTGTGTAGGTATTGTCAAAAGTTGTTTGCATGAATCTCCTATTGATTCAGTAACCTTGGCTACTGAGGGAAATACTATCTGCTACTATATTGCTTCAACCTTCCTCTTCGGGGAAAATCCCAACGCAGCTCACAAGTAGCATGCACCAACGAATTGGCTATATAAGGCACCCCAACCCCTTCCGAGCTTCTCTGTTGCCCCTACTCCTTCCCAATAGTGTTGAGGCAAAAAAATCCTCCTCGCGCGTTCACCAGGGACTTGAGTTCAAGCTCGGCATCATCGCCTCGGATCACCATCAACTCCGGCGGTATAGGCCGCCATTCTTCCTCATTTCTTCTTCTCTAGACTCCCCTCGACTATGCAAAACTCACACGATCATTTTGCATAGGTGTCTGTGCCCAAGTCGTCAATTTTATCATTGCATTCACCGCCGTTCAGCTGGCCTCGCCATCGTAGATGTCGTCATCTCCGATGACTCCCTCGAACACCATCCGATGTGACATGATCCCCTGAGCACGACAGTGTGTCGCACGTCTCTGAAGGTGGTCTAGATCGCCGGCATGAGCGTCGCCCGCCTCGCCTCTGCCATTGGGCTCGAGGAGGAAGACAAACCCAACAGGCAGGCCCAATTTATCAGTGTCTCCTCACGTTCGAGTCGGACGTGCTCTGGTCGTGGTATGGTTTTCCCTCGAGGAAGTGTATTTGCTACGAGGCACCTCCGATGTCATCGCCCTCCAGCGCGTGGCTGAGCGACTAGGCCAGGCCAAGTGTGTTTTGCCGCTAAGCTACACCCAATGTGCGCCTTTGCTCACCAGATCCGACTGCTAAGGCCCATTAGGTTGACGGCCTTTTCTTATTCTTTTATCCAGAAGCATAAATCAATTATAGAATATTCATTTCAATTTTAAATATAGTAATTCAAATTCCTACATGCTCCTAAAATCATGATCTATCCATTAGAGTCAGATGCACAATTTTCCATGTGAATTTCTTGTACTGACATTTAACAAACCTTTTTTCTTGCATATGAAGTCAGTCTTTGGAAACTCCTGGCATAGTCATTTGAGCTCCAAATGAGTTGACTCAAATTCCTAGATGTTTATAAATCATTCTCTAATTATTAGAACATAGTTAATTTTTTTCCTATTACTAGTTTCTGTTCGACCCATTAAATAGTCTATTCTTCATATTTGTCAACTTTGAAAAGATCTAGAATATTATTTTGAACTCCAAATCCAGTGGAACCAATTCCTAATTGTTTATAAAATCACAACCTATTTAATGGGTGCCTTCACTCATTTTTATAGAAGCTTTTCCGTTTATTCATTATCATTGTCATTTCCTCCTTTAATCCATCTTTAGTGAATTGAACAAAAATCTCTAGAGCTATAAAACCAATAGTTTCCCTTTGGTTATTTTTCATACAACCAGAGAAGTCCCAAAAAAGTGAAGTTTCTGCTTTGTTGTGATGCTTATTTTGTTTTGCTTCTACGTTAGATAATGGCGTAGAAAAAGGATTTGGAGGAGGACCAGAAGAGTTTGAAGACTTTGCTGAGCTAGGAAAGCAACCCTTATCATGCGGCCAGGTCGCTAGACACATCAGCCTTTGTGTCCTCCCCATGATTCCCTTGTGTGTGGCTTTTGGACCACTCTTGGACATTTTCTATGAATTTTCTTGGAATCTTTTCGTGAAACTCCCTGAAATTACATGGTTCACAAAAAATAGACTTTCGAAGGATCATTAGTAGGTTAGTCCTCAAAAGCATAAATAATTATCGAAGTAACATTCAAATATGCAATCAAACTTCAAAAGGAGTCATTATGTACAAGCATTAGATAATTATGTCTTACCACGTAGAACAAGTGATGTCTCTACCCAACCTCCACATTGGTGCTAGATACAGACCACATCGGGACGCCTACTACTAAGTTTACATGGAGGAAGCAATAGTTCACTACACGATACATGATAACTGAGCTCTAATGAATTGGCCTTGAAGGTGAATGACTTCAATATAGTCATCCTGCCTTGTGTTGTCCTTAATAGATTCCTCTGGATCCTTGGATAAAAACTCCGAAGGGTTCTCCTTGGAGTTCTCAAAGGGATCCTCGGTGTCAAAGAAGAAAGACAACAACATGGTGTTGTTCAAAGGCACTTAGCTCGCGAATGAATGGCGGTGAAGTGGCAAAGGTGTTCTTATGCAATTGTGAGTCGGCGAAGTGGACCAAGTGAAGGCTCTTGGGTTGCTATATTGATGTCATGCACTGATAGGCGTGTTATGTTTAGTGTAGTGTTGTTGCCTCCAAACGACTATCTAGCGGCGGAGCCACATTAAGCAAAAATTAGTTCATGGCCCACCGAGCCTAGGAGCAAACATCGAAGAGTGAGCGTAAAACTAGATTTTGATGACAAAAAATGTGCTTATCCATTATCATGGCTCGCCCATCATTTGTTTCTCCACTACGACCGCCCCGAACACTTGAAACGATGGATCTTAGCTTGGTACATGTTAAACCATGGCAAGTCTCATACAACCCTTAACAAAGTGGCAAATAACCCTTTTTGAGCAATTGTGTAGTGGACAAGTCGTGCAACTGCTGGATCATTCCTGCTAAGGGGCCTAGGGATTATGTTGACTTTACTGGACCATATACTAGACCAGCTTGAGTTGAGAGGTAGAGGTAAGTTCACTAATTTATCTCCGAATAGGCATAACGAAGACGACTAATAGATTCACATGCTGAAAGTTGGATGACCATGGGCAATGTCGCAAATGTAGTGGCCCCTAAAATAGTAAGAAGGGAACGATCAATGTAAAGTGGAAAAAAAAATCATATACCAATGTAATGCATGAGCAGGCACATCCCCTTCGTCTCAACTCACCATGTTCAGTGGTTTTGGAGGTGCTTGTACCTCTAGGCTATCCATAATATTTTTTTAAATGGAAGCTTTTATTGATTCTTTACCATGTATCTAGGTGGTACATTCACAAAAGAGTTTGACCTCCAACCTCCGCGTCAGAGTAGCACAAATTCACAGGGCAAAGGATACACCACTAAAATAAATATGGTAACAATTTAGTTACTACAACAATAAGGGAGAACACACTTATAGTGCCCACTGGAAGGCTCATGATGCCAAAATATAGAGATCATGCCGCCGCTGCCACATTGGAAGAGCATGCCTGACAACTCGCTATAGTTGAGCGCATGCCATCATCACCAACTCTGGTCTTCCCTTTGCCGACCATTTGAAGTATGGAGACCATGTGAATATAAATGCATAACTCACACATGATAATTTATACTTTTTAGCAATAGCAATACCATTACAGCTAAGCCATATGAACCAACATAAGAACCTGCCCCAACCATGATGAAAACACGCAACATATTTCTTAGCCCCCTCAACCAGTTACCATACATAGTAGAACCTCCTCAAGATGGTGGTAAGTTGGATGCCACCTAGACAATATAGATTACCCGTGCCTACTAGTAATCGTATGTAAGGTTTGATGTTTTCCATTATCTTTTCAGGAGTTGACAATCTTGATACTCTTCGTATGTGGTATTTATTTGAACAGAGAAATAAATTTGTTCAAAAACATAGTGTGTTCATCTCTCATCTCCCACATTTCTCCAAAGAACGGCGACTAGGGTTTTCGCCTAAGTGATACTACCGTTGGTTCCTTTCACCTCTAGATGCCTTCCGGCGCAAGCGAGGTGGCGAACCCTGATTGGGGTTGACCATGTTTGGGTTGGCCTTCCCTGGCTAGGGCTTATTCTAGGTGTATGGTTGGCGATGATGAGGTGACGAAATCATCGATGGCAAGGAATAAGTTATCCTCGTCATGTCCTTGTTCCGATAATTTTGATTGGTGTAAGTTGGTTGCGTGTAAAGCTTCAGTCAGGGACAAATCTTGGACCATGTCTCGTCTAGGTGGCCTTGGACATCGTCGTTTACTGGAGCGGACGTCAACGGTCTGTGTGTTGACTTTTTTGGCTTATTTCTTCACTCGGCGATGCACGCCCAACTTTGACTTTGTCGGGAAGCTAACGAGGGAAGGCCTCCCTTGAGATGAGTGTCTAGCCCCTTCGTCGCCTTCTTCTCTGGGACGACGATCTGATCTCCAGTACGTTGACTATGGTTTCTTTTGGCTCTGACTGACGCCAGGTCGTTGCATCAACAATGTTATCACGATTCCGAAGATCCAGAGCGGCATCAAGGTTTGCTCACATCACGCCACCACCAAATGCAGGAGGAAGACAACATGGATATACCACACCTTCTTTTTTCTGTTTTTGTAAAAATGGTCTCTTTTTTTGAGGGATTTGTAAAAATGGTCTTATAAGAGTCCAGATTTTTTTTTTTTAACAAATGGTCTTATAAATGGCCTTTGGCATGAGAAAACAAAATTAGGCATCTTTGCCTCCACTCCATGAGAAAAATCCATCTCCGGTTAACTGAAACCGTCCGTTGTTCCGCGTGAAGCCGGAGCGGAACACCAGCCGACCACGCTCCCGAAAGGAACAAAAAGACGGCGACGGAAGCTCCAAGCTGCTCCCGGACCACTGCCTCGCTAGAAGCCACTGCGGTAGCCGTCACCGCACTTGCGGGGAGAACACTCGCACGCGGAGGGAGACGCCTCCACTCCAATGGCGGTGATCACCGCGCCGCCGCCGCATCCTCCCCTTGCCGTATTCGCCGCCGCGCCCTGCCACGGAGTGCGCTTCTGCCGCGCTCCACTCATCCGCATGGCGGCCTCCTCCTCATCGTCTTCGCCTTCGTTTTCCTCGTCCTCCTCTTCCTCCTACGGAGGTGGTGGGGGCGGGGCCGGGGGAGGGGGCGAGATCCACTACGTCTCGCCGCCTCCCCCGCCCTCCACGCCCTCCGGGGCGCCCGTGTACGTCACGCTTCCGGTTGACGCCGTGGGTGCAGGGGGGCGCGTGGCGAGGAGGCGGGCCATGGCGGCTTCGCTCGCCGCGCTGGCGAGCGCCGGGGTGACAGGGGTCGCGGTGGAGCTGTGGTGGGGCGTCGTAGAGCGCGGGGGGCCTCGGGAGTACGACTGGGCGGGGTACCTCGACCTCGCCGCCATGGCGAGGCGCTGCGGGCTCCGCGTGCGCGCCATCCTCGCCTTCCACCAGTGCGGCGCCGGGCCACAAGACTCGTTCTGGTACGTCCCGCTTCTCCCCTCTGCTCTAAGCACGCCTATTTGTCTCCTTTTTTCTCGGGTTTTCCACATGTATATGCGTGTGAGCCGAACAACTTTGCTGCCAAATGTAAATGAATTGACATTTGTGAGGGTTTAGAGACACATTGGTGAAGCTCTCCTGGTAAATGTCTAGGGAGAAGGCTGCATTTTAAACCATTTCGTCGGCCTTTATGAGTACCATCGTGGTTGAGGTCTATGGAATTTAAGTAGATCAGTGCAATGTATGATCACAAGAGTGTGCGGTATCTGAAAGTTTGAATGCTGCAACCAAATCAGAGACTTATTTTGTGGTTTATGCAAGTGTTTTATGTGATGTATCAGTTGAAGTGGGAGTATACCTTTTTTTCCGAGAACATATGAGTAGAGCTTTCCAGATTTGGATGTAGCATGACGCTAGGTGAAATGAAGGAAACAACTTAAAATAAGTCATCTCACAGGAGCTGGAGTTTTGTCATAACAGCAGAGTCATGGAGGTGTTGAATGGAAAGGCCGAAAGGCATTGAGGATGTGATCCTAACCTAACGTGCTTAAATGTAAATAACTAAATATTTACATGTTGTGTAAAATTATGCTTTTTTTGGATTCAGTAATCTCTGATAGCCACGACTTAGCATTTCGTTTCAATACATGAACATACCTGTTGCAAGTACTGAAGAAGCATTTAGTCCTGTTTGTGCCATTTTATACCATGTTCAAGAGATGAGAATTTGACCAGGATGAAATGATACTTTATAGTTTTTCTTTTTCAAACATGACATGCAATTAATTGCCCTGCAAAACATTAAATTTATCTCCATACAAGTGTCATTATGGTTCATGACATATTAATTTAGGAAGCTATGTGTGCCTGTCTTAGTTGTCTCAATGTTCTATTGTTCACTGTGGACCTTAACTCTATGTATAGCTACTATTTCAAAGAATAGTATGTGGCGTGCAAGCAGCCAACCTAGCACTTCAGCTTATGCAAATGCTTATATGGCAACATATGCAGATTTTCTATATATAGAGAGAACAAGATGCAATCTTTAGTTTTTACATGTAACATAGTTATGTCAAGTATTTCACCATATTTAAATGATCGTTCTGTAATGCCCAGACTGTCACAACAGCAAAATGATTCAATTGAATGCCAACTCTGTCACCACAACAAACTGAAGTTACATAAATTCCTATACACTTTTGGTAGGAGACAGTGGGAAAATTTCCTACAGCTTTATTAACAAAAAGAATATGTACAAAGAGTCCTACATTGGAATGATACTAGTATAAGAGAGATTTTTTGAAAAAATATTTACAGGTTTGGTAGCCAGGCCAGCAAGGCCTCAGCATATTTCTTTTTGGCCCTATGACCAACCATGATCATCTCATGCTTATACGTTTGATGCCACTTCTCAAAAGTCAGGGCTTCATTGTCAAAAACTTTTGCATTTCTTACAACCCAGATGCTCCAAGAGGCAATGGTGATAATTTCAATGAAAAAGGCAACCTGAAGTTTAGCCCTGGACTGCCCCTGGTTCCTTCCCTTTCCGCTTCTGTTACTCCTGGGGCTCAAACCACAACATAAATCCAACTGGAATTCAGGGAGGTCCTTCCTCATGGAAGTCATGCAGCAGCACTTCAAGCTAGAAAAAGGGCTGGCAACGATGTCAACTTCTCATACAGTTGAAACTAGCCCCTTCTCCCCTCTCTACAATATCTGCAGTTGACAATGGCAGAAAGACCAGCCTCATATGCCCAGTTCACATCTCAGACACGCTCCCAGGCAGTGTGTTATTACTAGATGATCCTTCCAGACATCCAAGCTGCCTGGTACACATAGGTGACTTCCCACTGGACTCTATTGCTGCTGCAATGATCACACTCTCTTTACAGCATCCAGCAGGGCAGCTATTTGAAGAAAATAAAGGTTGTGGATTTTACAAGGTGCAGAAAAGGTCTGACAAACCAGATGTAAATGGCTGGACTTTTGCTCGGTAGGCAGTAGACAGCTCCCCAGCTCAACACGATTCTGCCGGAAATTTATCCTGATGCTCATCCAGGCACCCCTGAGGCCCTGACCGGAGTGAAGCCTTGAGCTTGCCAAGTGTGTTGGCACAGGCGGTGGCTAACCAATAACCATAGGTAGCAGACTAGCAGATTTGGAATGGTCCAGTGTTGCGGTTCTTTCGGCACACTCGAGCTGAATATACCATTGTTGAGCCATGGCAACCATTTTATAAGCGACCACCGAAACCATACGATCCGCATCTCTTCTCTGGTCCCAACATTTATTCACACCGGTTTATCCAAACTAGCAGATCCCTTCCTCGTCATATGTAGGAAGTTCAAGTTGTAGTTGTTATGAACCCTATTGTCATTATATGGCAATGGTAGAGATACTGGCAGGAGCGACAATGTGAACTATGGCAAGGTCAGCAGCAGATGCTGCATCATAAAACTGAAGTCCTATAATTGCGGTCCGGTGATTATAAGAACCCTGGCAGCAAGGGGGCCAGAATTGGAGTTGTCATGACAGTAATGACCCTGTTGTGATTTCTTTTTCCGAAACGCAGGCATAATATTTGCCTCATGTATTAATTAAGTAGAGAATAGAGTTTTACAGGTGCCCCTCAAGATAACGCATGGCAATTACTCGCGCAATACTATTTTCCCTAGTTTCTTAGCACCCGTGGTGATCCAAAGTTTCGCCTCGTCGAAAATGATGTTTAGCAATATTCGCAGTGGGGCGCTCTTTTGCCGGAAAACGCGGGACTTCCTCTCGTTCCAAATTGTATCAAGAGACAAGCATGGTGAGAGAAGCCATGTCTCGTCTATTGGGATTTTGCATGCCGTTTCCTTTATCCCACCAATCCTGGACGAAGCCCTCCAAATGCCAAGTGGATGTATCCATGTGCACAAGGCCTAGCCTCTCAGTGACCAAGTTCCATAGTCTAAGGGTGTAGCGGCACTTGAAGAAGAGGTGAGCCCCGGTTTCTTGCTCCATTTTACAAAGAGGGCAAAGGCTGCAATTTGTCCACCCACGCTTTGCCAACCTATTGGCGGTCCAAATCCGGTCTTGCAAAGCCAACCACGAAAAAACTTGACTTTTGGCGGAGCCCAAACCTTCCAAACCATGTGGTCCATGGGGAGAGGGTTATGCCCAAGAATTGAGCCTTATAAGAGCATCTAAAACCGGACGCCCCATATCCGGGCCCCTATACTTGGACAGTACGGCCATGGAATGGACCGCTTGGCTTTGCTCCCGTGCGAGGGTGCGCGTCGTCCTCCTTTGCCGCTTCTCGATGATGCAGGCACGGAGGGCTTCCTCGGTGTTGTCCAAGCCGGCGCGCGACTCTGCCTCCGCTTCGAGGGCTACCGCAGCTTCCCGCGCCTTGTTGCTCGCACGGCGGGCACGTTGACGGTGTCCTGGACTAGGGGGACCCGGCCCAGCTGGCCTAGTGCCGAACTGATGGCCCGTTAATGAGGAAGGACTCCGGAGGCCTCTGACCTATGTGTATCAAGCTTCACCAAGGACTTGGCGTGTACTCCAAGGTCTACTAGATTCGGCATGTAATCCCTAGATGGGAACCGACCATGTGTAGCCCTAGATAACCGCTCTGCTTTGCTCCCGTGTGAGGGTGCGCGTCGTCCTCCTTTGCCGCTTCTCGATGATGCAGGCACGGAGGGCTTCCTCGTGGTTGTCCAAGCCGGCGTGCGACTCTGCCTCCGCTTCGAGGGCTACCGCGGCTTCCGGCGCCTTGTTGCTCGCACGGCGGGCACGTTGACGGTGTCCTAGACTAGGGGGACCCGGCCCAGCTGGCCTAGTGCCGAACTGATGGCCCGTTAACAAGGAAGGACTCCGGAGGCCTCTGACCTATGCGTATCAAGCTTCACCGAGGACTTGGCGTGTACTCCAAGGTCTACTAGATCCGGCAGGTAATCCCTAGATGGCAACCGACCATGTGTAGCCCTAGACACCCCCAGTGCCTATATAAGCCGTAGGGTTTAGTCCGTAGAGACGATCAACCATTCATCATCATCATCATCATACCCTTAAGGGTTTAGACCACAACTCATGATCTCGAGGTAGATCAACTCTGTACTTTGATACTCGTAACATAAACAAGAGCGGGACGTAGGGTTTTACCTCCTTAGAAAGGGCCTGAACTTGGGTAAAAGTAGTGTGTCCTCCGTCTCTTCTTACCCATCGATCCGATCTCACAGCTCGGGCCCCCTACCCGAGGTCTGCTGGTTTTGACACCGACACATGTTGCGCCTCATGGCCGGTTTGGCCGTAAACCATGCCGGCATTGACCTCCGACTTGGAGCCCGAAGCCCGAAGCTGCGGGGAGGAGGCAACACCGAAGGTTGCGCCGCCAACTGTGGTCGCCACGTCCGGCGAGGCCGTGGTCACGCGCCTCGAGCCACCAGCCCCAGCGGATCTAAGCGCCATTTGCACGGACACAATGGACTCCCGCCGGATCGACTTGGACTGCGGTCAGGCGCATTCCTCCCATGAGCGGTGGAGAGCCATGCAGACGGCCATCTCCTTCTCATCTCCACATGCAATGAGTACCGGTCGACGTCCACCATTGCCCGCCATGTCGGAGATCGCCAGACAGGAGCTTGGGGGCGGGGCGGAGTGGAGTGGAGTGGCTAGAGTGGCTAGGCAGACATGGTGGACGTGCCTGTGACCGCGTCCGGGCGTCCCCATATCCGCCCCACATATGGGCTGCATATGGGGGTTGCCGGTCTGCTCGGATGTTTGGGGTGCGTTTGGGGCAGCCGGTTGGGTGGCTTTTTTCTGTCTGGGCAGGCCGCCCAGGCGTTTGGGGCAGATATGGGGTGTCTGGTTGTAGATGCTCTAAGCGGTAGCCGACGAGTATATCCCATCATTCAAGTGCTTCCACACGATGTCGTCTTTGGTTTACTTATCAAGGTGGAAGTCATGCACAAGCATCCAAGAACCCCCGGATGTGGTCAACAGAGACAACGGCGGAGGAATTGATCTTTAGAATCCAAGCATTGCCCTTAAGGGCCTCACGCACTTTCCAATTTTTTCGCCTCGACGCCTTGAAGATTAGGGATGCGATATCCTTGGGTTTGCGCCCAAGTAGCCAAGGGGAGTCCCAAAAAGATGTTTTCGCGCCATTTCCAACGGTGACGGTGGTGGAAGCATGGAAGAAATCAGGATCCTCATCGCATGGGTTTCTCAACCCCACCCACAACTTATTTGGCTCCTTACATTTGTACCAATGCCAACACAAACGCAAAGCATGAGCAAATTTGTCGGTGTTGAGTATTCCGAGGCCACCATACTCACGCGCGCGGCAAACAGCCTCCAAATTGACCTTGCACTTTGCGCCAGCCGTCTTATCTGAGCTGGACCAAAGAAAAGCCCTCTCAAGCTTGTTGAGGTTATGAAGTGTGCTCGGAGAGATGTGCGCCCAATGGTAGTAATGTTTTACCCCTCCCAAGTGACCAATTTTCCGGCCGCTCTGTCTTCAAGGAATTGGAAGTCCACCTTCTTTAGTTGCCAAACCGAAAGGGGAAGGCCGAAGTATCTCATTGGGAATAAAGCTCTAGTTGCCGGCATACTTTGAAGATCCTGATGTACTGGCAGGCTATAACCAATCTCAAATCACCATCTATTTATCTGCCTGCCGCTTGTCCACCTTGGAAGCCATGTTTGCAAGCTCTGATACTTATTACTGTGTGCCCTGATGCTGCGAATATTTAAGGAATTATTCACTGATGGAAAAGATTGTCATTGACGACTAGGCGTTGTGGCCAGCAATTAGATTCGTGGAACTGAGGTAGAAGAGTGAGCCTGCAGGGATTGTGAATAGCAATTGGTGGATAGGGAATTAGTTTATTTCTTGCCTACTACAGTACTGGACAATGTAGACCTGACTCTCACTCTCGTCATTGTGTATTAGAAAAGGAGTGTAAAGGAAGTGTGAATTTACAAATCGCTGATGGTATCCTCCAGCAAAAAACAAGGAGCACAGACCCCAGAAAGAATTTAAAGCAAAGCAAAACTGATGAAAGCTAGCAAAAGGAAAAAACAAAATCAAACTAAGCTAAAGAAGAAAGGCTAGATTATGGTAAGCTAATCCAAACACCTCCCCACTGGTCGGTAGGCCACACGTGCAGTAGCAGTTCCTGCTAGCTTCCATAGGTCCGCCCTGTCCAACACAACACTGTCCATAGATTACCTTGACTTGCCTCTTAATACAAGAACGCCCTAATATGGACTCCGAGCATGCATGGACTCAAATATTAGTATGTCCTCTTCTGGACTCTTTCCTAATCATCTTCCTTGATTGCTTTTGCTCCATTGACTGCTCCTGCTCCTTCATTTTCTAGCTCTGCTGCTCCTGGGGCTCCCACCGGTCTGCACAGCATGGTGACAAAGGAGCAAAATGAAGTATGAAACTTAAAGATTTACACTCAAGGTGACTAAAATCTTAAAACAAAATGAGTTCATCTTCGTGCCCAAAATGATGATAATGATTGCTACAATAACAATGATTATGATGGGTGACAGAGGATCTATTTTACTTACACTAGGAATTACTGAAAGCCATCCTAGCTCTCGTTTCCTGTCTATTTGAATAAGAGATTTGTACATTACATTTGAGCTACCTTTGATGGTCAAGTCTTACTATATATGCCCCCCTGCATCACAATCATCTAGCATTCCCTCATAACAACTGTGAGCGTCTGAAGAATTCTTAGGGGCCATTTACCCATTCAGCATTATTCTTGGCCCAAGTTGTCATACGAAAATGTGGGTCCATCCCAAATTGATACACGCCTTCCAAAATGGTAGAACTGGATGTTACTTGGTGTATGACCGCTGTACATCAACTGTTAAAATAAAAGGTGTTACATTTAGTGATGCCTTTCCACAACTGCTTTAATTAGTGAAACGTGGCAGAAAAATATGGTTTCCAGCATGCTAAATGCGTCAGCAATTATACGAAGCCACATGTAATTGTGTCAGAATTCACTCAGTAAAATGAATTGATTATTTTTCCACCTTGCGACGTTCACTATATTGCTTTTTCAATTTAGTCCTTTGATCTTGAAATATGCAACCGTTCTTTTTGCTGCCATAGTGACAAGTGAGCAGACGCTGACAATTTCATTTATGCACAAGATTTCCCGTTTCTGCTGTTTTTGAAAAAATATACCTACTACAGGGTCCCTCTTCCACAATGGGTGCTTGAGGAGATGGAGAAGATGCCAGACTTGTCATATACTGATAGATATAAACAGAGAAACAAGGAATACATCTCATTGGGATGTGACATTCTTCCACTTCTGAAGGGAAGATCACCTATGCAAGCTTATGCTGACTTCATGAGGAGCTTCCGCGACAATTTCAAGGAGTACCTTGGGGCCATAGTGACGGTTTGTGCTCTCCTTTTATATTTAAGTGTATCATGCTAATTTTACACCAGCAAGAGGTTGTAAGCCCCTTGTATTTATTGCTTTTCAGGAAGTTCAAGTTGGAATGGGCCCAGGAGGTGAGCTTAGGTATCCATCATGCCCAACCGAGAAGCTAAATCAGCCAGACAGCTCATCTGAACTTGGGGAATTTCAATGTTATGACAAGGTATACAGTGAAAGAAGATCCCTGATCTTATCACTTTGATATGGAAAGTTTTTACATTTTCGGTAAACATTCATTTTTTATGGGCGTATATGATGATTTCTCGCAAGTACGAGCCCTAGTGTATGACACAGGTTTATACACTTACTGTTTAAATCAACTATAATTTGTTAGTGAGCAAACTTATACGTGAGTTCGAACTTAAAGCTGAAATGCGCTTCGTACGCATTTCAGCTTATATCAGACTCCTGTGTGTATGATGGCTTTAGTTTATTGAACAATCAACAGGGCCAAGACCACAAGACTGAGGTGTCGTTTTGCCCTCGGCTTCAGTTTGTAAGCTCATGATCTGAAGCCAAAGCAATGGCTACATGCTAATTACTTACCTCGTTTGGTTTTTGAGGAACTATTGAACTAGATCAAAAAAAAAATTGCACATGCATTTTCTTAGGTTAACAAAAATGGCTTTCTGTTATCGTTATTTCGCTAGCATATGGCTTTTCTGAAGGGGTAGCATTAAAAGATAGTGTTCTGAACTTCTGATCACTTTGCTGTGATGTACTTGGACAGTTCATGCAAGCATCACTGGGTGCTCATGCGCGGATTCTTGGGATTCAAGAGTGGGGAAGTGGTGGTCCAGCTGGCATAGATAGCACGTGGCAGAATCCTGAAGAGACAAACTTTTTCCGTGCCGATGGAGGATGCTGGAATACCCCTTATGGCCGATTTTTCCTCGAGTGGTATTCCGGAATGCTTCTTCTCCATGGAGAGAGGTTATGCGCGGTCGCTGACGCCGTCTTTTCTGGCACCGGCGTGACCATCTCGGGGAAGGTTTCCGGCATACACTGGCACTACTACACATGTTCACACCCATCCGAGCTGACAGCCGGCTACTACAACACATTGCTAAGAGACGGCTATCTCCCCATCGCCCAAATGTTCTCTCGACACAGAGCTGCCCTGTGCTGTGGCTGTTTCGACCTGAGGGACGAGGAGAGAAGCGGTCCTCAGAGCAGCCCCGAAGGCACTCTCCGGCAACTGATGGCTGCCGCTAAGGTATGGAACCTACCTCTCAACGGCGAGAACTCCGCGGCGAGGCTGGACGATGCGTCGCTGAGCCAGGTCGTCAGAAGCTCGAGGCGCTACTCGGGCGGCACCTCGGGCGCGTCTTTCTCCTTCAACTATGTCAGGATGAACAAGAGCCTGTTCGAGTCACACAACTGGAACCGGTTTACGAAGTTCGTCAGGAAGATGTCGGATGCCAGAACCTTTCTGGCTAGACTGAACTTCAGGAGACACCAATGCCTGCCTTCAATGTCAGTTGTTTGGGTTGCTAGCCAGGCCTATGCATACACATGATTTATTTTGTTGTTGTTGTTGTGTGTCGAACATGTATGTGACCTGTGATATTAAAATTGTAGACGACTCGAGAAGGAAAAATGGAAGAAAACTTCCCAGTGGGTTGGTCGTTGTGTTCTCATGCTTATTCCAGTTTGATTGAAGCTTCTGCCTCGCATGTGCTAGCTGACTAGCTCCTCACCGAATCTTAGATTTTTGTGCTGTAAAGTGACGGTCAATTACTCTTGAAAAATAAAATAAAGTGACGGTCAATAGCTACACTCATCGCAAGCCATTTTTACCAACAGTTATCTACACCGGTACAATTTATCTTAGGTTCTGCTGCAAACATTCTACGTGGAACGCCTCAGAGCACATATACTGGTATTATTTATGGTATTAAAATTGCAGAAATCATTTGTTCAACTCCAGTATTCTCTTGTCTATGAGCTGAGCTGTCATCTGAAAACGGTGGCCTTCATTGCACTATCAGCCATTTATCCATGTAGGCCCTAATCATGCATAACTTGCACATGTGGCATTAAAGGAAATAAATACCCCAGCTGGAAATTTCTCTTGTTTGTTCTGAAAAATGAGTGATTCAACACAAACAACAGCTCCTGAACATGCTGGATGGACAAGAACTCTCTGTCAGCAGCTGGATTTTGGACGTCGATAATTCTATCAGAGCAACAAATCAGATTCAAAATCGCTCAGGTTTATGTCGCTGAAAATACGATGAAAGTTATGCTTACTTTTCTCCAGAGTTTGTTTTTTTCACAACAGGGAACAATGAACCAAGCAAGCCTCAAAGAGCTCAAACTCAAGAGGAACTGAAAGTGGATAAAAGGAACTAGCTTCCAAAACCGTTCAATTTCTGGACAACAAAAGTTTCATACTATTACAACAACTTCGGCTTTTAACTGTACCCCCAGGACTTCCAGCACCACGTGCTAAATATGTGCAGAAAATTATTACTCCCTCCGTTCCATATTACTCGTCGCTGATTTAGTACAAAGTTGTACTAAATCAGCAACGAGTAATATGGAACAAAGGGAGTAGCTCTTATCTCAGAAATCTACAGTTGGCTGTTTTATTTTTCAATCTTGATATAAGGTTCTAACACCGTCTTGTTCGATGCTGATGAATGTGCCTTGGGAAAGAGACCGTCCCTCTCCTCGGCATCGGCCGCTCCTCGGCGGAGCAGGGGGCTTCATCGGAGAACGAATTTCCGTTTGCATTGTCGATTGGAATTGTAGCCTTCTTCAGAAATTTATCAATGTCACTAATAAGTCAATCGTTGGCCGTTTGCTCAGTACTGAAGAAATCCACAGAGAAGGTAAAACAAATCTTCTATTAACAGTGGTAATAACTAAAACTAAATTTATATTGATGCTACTAATAATTCAGACACCAATTACATCAACAATAGCCCCATTGGTGACGTTCATTCGATTTCAGTGAACAATCACACCTAGAGTAGAGTATAGTAGAATCAGCTGAGCTACACTCTGATTCTGATCAGGGGCGGGCCCACCTCAGTTCAAGGGTATGCATCTGAATACCCATTGTTTTTGGCAAAAAATATGGTATATATAGTATATATACAGTGTCAGTATAAGAAAAAACGAAACTGGTACGCCAACGTGCTTGTTAAGCATTTATAAGCCCAAAACATAGGCTGGCCCAGTAGCCCACCCTTTCCTCGAGTCCACACCTTGGCCCAGAAGCGCATCGCACGGATACATCGTCGCCAAAAAAACTCGATCGATCACGAACCGGCACCTCCCCTCCGCTGCTCCGCCACAGCCGCCTCCGCAGATCCCACACGAACTGGCGGAACTGCCGGTCCGCCGCCACAACCACTGCGCCAAGCGACCGCCGGGCAGCCGGCAGGGCTGTTGCCGCCGTCGCCTCGCGCGCGTGCGCACGGCGCGCCGCCGGTCCGCAGCGACGAACCCCTCGCTTCCTCTCCCTGCCTGCATCCCTTCTGTCTAAGTTCTGAATTTTCTGATCGACAACAGCACAACAGACTGCATTGATCCAGTTTCAAATACACAAGCACTGATTTTGTAAGCAACAGCCAACTTCTGAATCGTCTCATCTCTGAACCTGAAGTGCCACTGAATTCATCTTACAGGTTATGTCTCCTTTTTTTTTACTTCTGTAGGTTCTGTCACTCTGATTTTGTAAGCAACAGGCACGGTTCTTCTCACCGTTGATTCAGGAGCATAGTTCGGCTCCTAAGTCCTAAGTAGGTATTTTCACCACTTCACTTTCTTATTTAATTGTTGGTTAAGTAAAGACTAGTTTGCAGCCAATTATGAATTGTTTAGACATGAGAATGTGCAATTTTTCATTTAAGTTTGTGATGGGAGAATGTTTATAAATTCTGAATTTGTTACAGTAAGCAATATGTATAACGAGTAGTATTCTAAAACTTGAACAATTTTACTTCTCAGGTGTAAAACATGAAGAGGAAGAATACTACTGATTTGAGATCTTTCTTGGAAGGAGTTGCTGCAAAAAAGAAAAAAATCTGAACCAACAAGTGCTACACCATCTTCCAATGAAAGTCAGCTGCAGTTGGTAATGTTCCAAGGGCAAAGTGGCAGTGAGACACACACAATACCACCTGAACCTGAGAGAGCTCCTAACACAGAGTCCCCAATAGCAGAAGATGATGATGAATCTTTGACTGTAGATGGATCTGATTCTATAGATGAGGACAGTGATGATGATATTTATGACATCGTGCCTGATCCTGGGTTGAGGACTCCTATCTCAAGCTATGATGTTAATGACCAAGATTCGGTTAGAAGGGCCTACATTGCATTGGGACGATGTAAACCAAAGATGGAGAAGAAAGATTTTCCGCAACATAACTGCGGAGGTAAGCGTCGCTTCCAACCGGTTTGGTTTGATGAGTACAAGTGGCTTGAGTATAGTGTGGATAAAGATGCGGCATATTGTTTTGTTTGCTATTTGTTCAAAGATAGTATAGTGTGGAACATGAACGCGAGATTTCGTAAGCATGTTGGTGAGGTCAATAGTGCTCATTGTGAAGCCGAAGAGAAATATAATTTGTTCATCAAACCTAAAGCATCAATCCGTGAGGCAATGGCCTCACAAACCACACAGTACAAGGCTCAATCTCTAGCTCGGTTGAAATGGTCACTTGAGTGCATAAAATTTATTTTGCATCAGGGGTTGGCTTTTCGTGGTCATGATGAGGGAAAGGATTCAAAAAATAAAGGAAATTTTTGAGAACTTTTGCAATGGTTGGCAGGAAACTTTGAAGAAGTTAATAAGGTAGTTTTAGGAAATGCTCCACAAAATTGTCAGATGATAGATCACAAGATTCAAAAACAGCTTATTGGTTCTTGTGCTCATGAAACAACAAAATTTGTCATAGAGGAACTTGGTGATGAGTGTTTTGCAATTCTTGCTGATGAATCTAGTGATGCATACCAGCAAGAACAATTAGCTCTTTGCTTGCGATTTGTCAATAAAATAGGGGAGCCGGTTGAAAGGTTTCTTGGTCTTGCCCAAGTTGCGGATACTACATCATTAACTCTTAAAGAAGAAATTCAGACCTTGCTTATGAAGTATCAATTGCCCATATCCAAGGTACGTGGGCAAGGGTATGACGGTGCTAGTAACATGAAGGGTCATGTTAATGGTTTGAAGAAACTAATTATGGAAGATTCTCCTTCTGCTTATTATGTTCACTGTTTCGCCCATCAGCTTCAACTAACCCTTGTAGCTGTTGCTAAGGAGAATATTGATTGCAAATGGTTCTTTGGACACCTTTCATATTTGTTGAATGTTCTTGGGATGTCATGTAAAAAGATCTGCATGCTTCGTGTTGCTCAGTCTGAATATATGATTGAAGCATTGAAACTAGGTGAGATTGAAATTGGCCAAGGTTTGAATCAAGAGATGGGACTAGCAAGGCCAGGTGATACGCGATGGGGTTCCCACTATAAAACGGTAATGCATGTTATGTCTCTGTATCCTTCAATCAGGAAAGTTCTCTTTAAGCTTGGGAAAGAAAGTAATAGTGCAGAGGCTTTAGGAGCTCAGACAATGTTGGAAGTATTTAAATCATTTGAGTTTGTTTTCATGCTGCACTTGATGAATGAAATATTTGGATACACAAATGACTTAAGCAATGCTTTGCAAAAGAGAGATCAAGATATTGTGAATGCAATTGATCTTCTTGAGTTCACAAAGGTACAACTGCAAGTTCTGAGAGAAGATGCTGGATGGAGAGAATTCCTTGAGAATGTCACTTCTTTTTGTGTGAAGCACAATGTCAGATGTGTTGACATGGATGGGAAGTACATGCCTATACAAAGAGCAAGATCATTCTATAAAAATGCCATGAATTACCACAGGTTTCATGCTGATATGTTCTTGGGTGTCATTGATAGGCAACTTCGGGAGCTTAATAACAGGTTTGATGAGGTAAACACAGAGCTACTTAGATGCATGGCATCATTCAGTCCAGCCAAGTCATTTTCTTCTTTTAATATTGATGACTTGGTTAAGCTTGCTGGGTTCTATCCTCATGATTTTGACTTTGAAGAAATGCACCAACTTCCTTTTCAACTGAATCTCTATATTAGTGATGTGAAGAATGATGAAAACTTCACAAACTTGAGAAATCTAGCAGAGTTATCTATGATGCTTGTTAAAACAGGGAGGGATCTTCGGTATGATATTGTTTACAAACTTCTGAAATTGGTGCTAGTCCTTCCTGTTGCGACAGCCGGTGTTGAGAGAGTCTTTTCATCAATGAACTATATAAAAAACAAGCTAAGAAGCAAGATGGGGCAAAAATACTTGAATGATTGCTTGGTCACATTTGTCGAAAGGGATTTCTTCTTGCAAGTTAAGGATGAGGACATCATCACTCATTTCCAGAGCATCAAGGATCGCAAAGTTATCCTGTAATTTGTAAGCTTTTTTTTATCATTTACTATTTTCTATCCTCTATACATCTTAGATTTTGCCAT